CGAAGGAAATGCCGCGTGTGTGTTCGTGGAGAGCGACACTCGTTTATGGATTCATTTTGCGGAGAGCGGATTTTGTTGCTTGTGTGAGATTCGAAGTTTTGTCGTTGGATAATGTTAATTGTCATTTTTTCTTTAATTTGAAACGTTCGTTGCCGTGAGAAAATCGGAGATCAATTTGTATCTTCAAATTATAATTGTTTTTTATTTTTGTATGCCTTCGCGAATTATTAGATTTTGAATCATTTTTGGTTAAGTTACTTTATAACGAATTTTGAGTTATTAATATTAAGTAAATATCAAACTGCTGTTCTAATTTTTATTAGATTATTAATTTCATCGTTTAATTTAATTTTATCGTTAACATTATGATTTAGATTTTCGATAGATCATTGCATTCTGGTCCGCATATGCTGCGGTCGGTGGCACCGAACGTGTTGATAAAATTTTAACACGGTTTTCTTAAATTTAACGAAGCTGTTCATTTTGGTAACGGCTAATTTGCTAACAAAATGAAATTACGAACAATACGCATATATTTCTCAAGTATCAAAATATTTACACGGACCGGTGGCATTTTTTCTTAAGTCCCTGACTGTTATCTGTACACGGAATTTTCTGGGTCGAAATAATTTACCGACTGGCGTAATAAGCGTAGAAAGAATTTATAAATATTATTTCGTCCGTTTTACGTAATTTACTATTCGTATCTGCGGCTCTGAGAGGCAGATGCGGATGTAGATATGGCCTCATTGAATTATTATGACAAATAGCCTCGGGGGAGTCTTTTGCTTTTGACGTAGATCAAATTAAGATAGCAGTGCTATAACCATTCTTTATTTTTTGACAACGATCGTGTTGTGTGTTTGATTTCCTCTGAATTTCTCGGCGATTTTTTTTTTCACCTTGCAATATACACCGTCGATATTTCAGATTTTTACGCGTTTTCCGCTGGGTACAGACGGTGTTTAAAAAATTCTTTATTTCCGTAAAGCGACGTATTTTTGAAATATTAACGTCGAAATAATTTCTCGATGAAAATACGTTATACTTTCCGCAATATTTGCTAATAACGTTAATGCTTCTGAGATTATCGAAGTACTGCTGCGTATTTTTCTTTGGCGAAGAGGTTAGTACATAATTACTACGTCTGTTTGTGTGCAATTAGTTACTCGTTTTCCTATTAGAGACAATTACTGACGTTGGTTGTGAAACCTCACAAGTCGAATAATTGCAGAGAGAACTTAAGCTCTTTTTTTGCTGAAACCTATTTTCTACAGCCTACATTATTCGTAACACTTCAAACCTGCATAATACTACCATGCAAAGTGTAGAAGGAAAATTTTATTACTTTACAACTGATTACACTTGCGGTATGCTTGTGAAACTTGTTTCATTTTCTTCGACGTCGTCGTATCAATTCTGTTGAAAGTTAAAAATTCAAATTATACTATTTAATGAAAACAATGTCACAATTCAAAACAGGGCTCGTTTAACCCTTTTTTTTTAAATAGTAAACAATACACATGAACAATATTGAATTAGAGATTCTCAAAACTCAAAGAATAAAAATTGTTTCATTGGTAAATTATTGACAAATTTCTAATTAATTTCCTGAGAAATGTATAATACTTTTTAAATATTGTAAATATTAATTTTTGCCAAGTGCTTGAATATTTATGTAACATAGTAGATGGACATAATTTCGGCTATAATGATAAGTAATCCTAGAGTACAATAATGAGGCTTCACAACGAAAAAGCATCAACTCGATCATTTTATAATTAACCAAAATATCAGGTGTACAAATTAATTCAATACCTTGTCTCACAAACTTCAAAGGTTAGTTACAAAAAATTAAGCACAATTTTAATGTTCAAAATAATCTCCTTTATTTTGGACGACCATTCTTCCATTTATCAGGTAGCTGACACATTCGCTCTCTGAAAAAATATAGCAGTTTTGAGTCGATAAAGTCGCGAAGGCATTACACGTACAACATTGCTAAAAAGGCAAATTTGCATGTTGTTCGAATATTTTTGCGAGCTACTGTACCCGACAAAATTGGCGCAAAAATGAAGCTTGATAAAGCACATTATACACAAACCGTTTTGAACCGTCGCGTCGTGCCGGTAAGTATTTTCTTTGGCAGAAGTTCGACAGGAATTTATTTCACGGTGAAACTCCGGCTGGTAGCCAGTCGAAGTTAGTTTCCTCTCAATTAGGCAGTCACGAGGGCGTGAATATTAACCGGCGCGCTCCCATCAAAATATCAATACTCGGCAACTTCAGGTTCGGTGTTATCGACCTGCAATCGGCCGGGTTATGCAAATCCTCCCAGTCTGACCCGTCGTCGTCGTCTCTCCCTTTATTCCCCTCTGGTTTCACTTGTATCATTACCCTCCTGCAAGCGAAAACCGCCAATAAAGGCGTCCCCGTGGTAAGGATCTCTCGCAATCCTCCGAGCAAAACTGTGTCCTCGCGTATACCACCTCCAAGCGACGCTCGGTTACGCAAGCGTCCCGAAAAGAGCCGAGGGACCACCTTTGGGCTCGCTAAAACTCCAGATAATCTACTCGTTTCCACCGGCGATTTCGCCGCCGCATGTCTCGCCATAATTGGCGAACGCCGCGGCTTGTGTGGCGAGTGTCGTGCAAAAGCGAGCCAGAACGTCGAAAAGGGTCTAGCGAACAGTGAGGAGGAGGGAAAAGAGAGGAAGAAGAAGATCCTCGGTTCGGTCGTAGTCCGGCGATGCTCATGAATCTCATGATCGATGCTCTCGTGGAACGGAGTTAAAACGTGTCCAAGTTGGAAGGCCACGGGCCGATGCCCTGTAATGGTCGTCCAGGACTTCACCGTGTTACGTGTCAGCTTGTGAGACGTTCCGCGGCAATTTACGGCTGCGTACACAGTGCCATTACGACGCATCGTAAATAAGACGATGCACGTCGGACGTGGTGCACACAAACGCAGGTCGCTTGATGCGCCGCGCCGTGCCGCTTCATAATTTTTACCGCTCTCATTATGCGTGGGCGTCGTTAATTTCTGGTCCACGGTCGAGCGTTTTTCTTTTATTCTTGTTTCTTTGGCCCGCTTTCGCGACGCGAACTGCGTAGCACTGGTTGTGTCTTTTTTTCTTTTAATGCATCCTTTTGGTTGTCGAGTGCCTTTGAACTGTGCGGTGGACACTGTTGCGTCTTGTCGCGTGTTTGGGAGGAAACAGAGCGATGCTTTGTTAACAACGGACAAATTAGGGGTAGTGTGTACTTTGTGGGAGTAGTTTGAGCGTTGGTGGGGGATGATGATCCTTCGGTTTTAGGTGAAGATGCTTTTTGCGTAAGGAATTAGGACATACACTTTGCTGACCGGTTGTTTCGCGCGAAAAGTATCACATGCAGCCGGCTATTTTTCCGCAATTAAATTAGCTAAATAGGTATTTGTTACCTATTCTCTAGCTATTTTTAGTAGAAAATGTTTGTATTTTATTTTAGTTTTTTTTTGGAAATTATAGTTGCAGTAAAGTTTGAGCGCATTGAATAGGGCACAATTGATCAAAAAGAGGGCTACTTTTTCAGACTACACTCGTGACCGGTCAGAAAAGTGTTAAGGCTAAAGATTTATTACTGGTTTAAGTTTTGCTAGGCAGTGAATATGTTATGTTTATTAAGACTCTATCAGTACTTACACAGTATGTAACAAAAGTTCCTGAACTCTGAATTTAATAATTTATTGTGATCGATTAGAAGACAGTAAGAAGGGAAAATGTATCTTTGACGTCAAATGTGTAATATGTTCAAAATTATAAAAAAAGGTGTCAGTACATAAATCAAACATTTTTACCATCTGAGTTTGGGTCCTTAGTTAGATTCTACTTTGCTGTAAAATTTAGATTTCTAACTTATTAACATCTTCCATACACCTGTCTGAAGAAAATTAAAAGAAAAGAATGTAAAGAAAAAAATAATTTACATAATCATCAACCGATATTGAAAATATTAATACCTGTGTACAAAACAAATAGAAATGCACAGGTTGTAAATCATTCTGCTTGAAACTTGGTTAGAACAGTACGGCAGCGAAAATTCACCTTGGAAAACAATTATTTTCCTCCAGTTATCGGGTATTTTTTTCATTATCCAGCTGACAATGTCTAATTTACGCGAATAAACACTGTAGCTGTTTGCGAATCGAATTGCCGCGTGCTCCGTGGACACGTGTGCTCCGCTCGCAATTACGCGTAATTGGATAATTATCGAAACGTTCGGCGACTTGTTCCAATAACCAGAATTTAAACGTTCCGATGCATAATGCATCGGGTGTTACTTGAATGCGACGGAAACGCAGAAAAGCTGCGCGCGACCCCGCCGCGCCGCGGTTCCGTTCGGGTCTCTCTCGGTGTCGTAGTGAAAAAGTAGGTCGTAGGCGGAGAATCACGTAAATGAAACTCTTTATTTCAATGTCCGCGCTCGTATAGTCAATCTCCATTATCCATTATCTCTCTCTCTCTCTCTCGATTGGAGGGTTGTAGCCAGATCGGTTGAACAAATGCCAAAGGTTATTCCCTCGTAAACTTGCTACGTTATAACCCGAAAGTAGGAACGCGGCCTTTTTACGAGGCTTCTTTCGCTTGAATCCTCTCTTTACGAACTGATACGAGGAAACCGTGAAATTATGAAGGTGGCACCCAGATATTATGTACGTTTCTTCTCCATGGTGGACATGCTTGCGATAAAACCAGCCGAAATATGTAACCGTAATGGCCGCGCGTGTTTTATTCGTCCGCTTATCCCTGTGATTCCCCGATTTACAGCGCGTCGTTTCGACGTCGATAAAAACCGTTTCGACGACGGGCAAGGTTACATCGTTGAACCTCTCGTGTGTCTGGTGTGGTACCTACCTACCTCTTCCAAGATGCTTCTTCTGCACACGAATCGATCCTCTCTTATTCGGTTTGCGCGGAGGATATACTACCTACGCTGGACTTGTATCTAAAAGACTGGTCTATGTTCTTGTTTCAGGTTGCGACACGACCTTGGAGCCCGGATCAGGGCAAGACGCGAGAGATGACCAAGCTGTGCAACCATAAGAGGAAACTTTTGCTGCCAAGTACGGCAGCCGACAGTCCTGTTGCATCCTGCACACCGACAGTCTCCTCCTCAGCTTTATCCGCTGGCCCGGTTGCAACTGCGATTCACGTAAACGCAGACTCGCCCACCTCGCCGGACAAAGCCAGGAAAGGTAAGAACGCGACCTTGCGCAATTCTACCTCGCGAGTGAATTTTTTATGTACATCGATCGAATAGCTGTGAAAGGGAGGGGGAGAGTCTCGGGAGTTTCGGAAACGGCGAAAGAGTTCTCTCTCCGGCAATTTGCATAATTTTAATGCTCGAGTGAATTGCGAGTTTACTTGAGAGAAAATACTTTGTCGGGAGGAATTGAATGTTATCTCGATGTAAATTAAAGTTGGGGATACTTCTTTTTTTTTTTGGGTAACTATTTTTGGGTGATAGCTATTTTGTTTAATAATGACGGTCGTTGATAATTTTTAAGCAATTGTTAATTTGTAAATAGGATAATTCTTTTCTGGCTAATTATTCTAGCTAATTTTTTCTCTTTTGGATGATAATTATGTTGCTTAATTATAACGCGCGTTGATTACTCTTGAAGAATTCTTAATTTAAAAATGGGATAATTTTGTTTTGAATAATTATTTTAGATAATTTTCTAATTTTTGGATGATAGCTGCATTGTTTAATAATAACTTTTAGAATACTCTTCGTTGCATCCAAAAAAAATTGTTTTCCGAATTATTTCATATTAGAACAGATGAGACTAATCTAGTACGTAAGACCAGAAGTCTAAGACTAGAACGTAAATGATATTTTCTATTAATGGAAGAGTTAGTTTTTATTGACGGATACAGTAACTCGCATATCTCATTTAACATTACCGGTTTTACCATTAAATCTTCTATATAAACTTTCGAATTGAATATTAATCACGGGAGCATAAATATTCATATGACATTCATAGAACAAACAGCTACTGACATGCTTCTACGTAAAACAGGTATCATGTAAGAATAATTTATTTGATTAATGAAGTATCCTCATTTATACTTGCAAATTGGGTGTAGATTTAATCGATGCTCTTACGAATAATAGAAGAGCTTTGCAATCCTATAATTAGCGTAAATTATCAATTAATATTTCATTCATTTGGTATATTAATTTGCATAGAAAGCTGTATAATCGAAGATAGAAATTCTCTTTCGTTTAAAAAGTCGCAGGATTTCGTAATAAACAAACATGAAATTACAATAAAATATGAATAAAATTGAATAAAACACTTTTACTTAAAAAAAATAAATATATATATAGCTGTATGACATATTTTACTAATTATTCAGTTATTTTTTGAAAATAGCATTTTCCAAGCGATCTCCTCGACAACAAATACATTCTTGCGATCGTGTCGTAAAATTCTTCATTAAAATTCTTCTACGATGGTGCACAGTATTTGCACATAATGATCGAAACTGCCATTATGAAAATGTTATTTTCAAAAAGTAATTAAATAATCAATAAATTATATTATGCAACTATTTTATTTCAAATTAATCTGAGTGTCTCACGGTAGCTTTTCGAAAATCGTTATTACCCATTTTGGAAAACACAAATTAAGCATTAACGGGTGTCTTCACCCCGAAGAACCAAAAAGTATCAAAACCAAAAACATTGCAAACTTGCAAAGTTTCAGAAAAATCGGAATTCCGAGATTATCAAAGTTTGAAAATGGTTATTACCCATTTTCAACGTATATACAGGAGAATAGAAAAATACAAATTAACCATTAGGGGAAGCGGGATAATTTTAATTTCTTAAAATAAAAAACGGGGTGATTTGACTCTGTATGGCACTGCCTGCTAGCTAATATTCATCGTTTCTCTAAAAGTATCAAAACGAAAAAAATTGCAAACTTGCAAAGTTTCAGAAAAATCGGAATTCCGAGATTACCAAAGTTCCCCTTGTCACTCGGGAGTATTGCACATCGAAGGACAAAAACAGAATCGAAGACAGTCCAATTAGAGACCTGGGTACTCTTCCAGTTGTTGATAATCTCCCTTAAGTAAATCAAGCGAAAGGAATTTTTCCAGCTAGGTAGTTTCATCCAGCGCGGTAGGGGGTGTACAGGGATGGTCGATCGGTCAAAATCAGTATTTTCCCCGGGGGAAAAGTTTCTTGGCG